TCCCGGGACGGTCCAGGGGGAACACCCCTCCCATGAATCCCTCCAGGACCCTCTCTGAGGGCCCCGCGGGCCCCCCCACCAGAACCCCCAGAACCTCTCCCTGAGGACAGCCCCGAGGACACCTTCCTCCCCAGGAACCCCACCCCCCGCAAGGAAAGCTCTGAATGACCCCCGAGACTGCTGCACACGAAAGGCGTCATTCAGTGGTAGGTGGAATCAACGCCAACTGTTAAAGCCCTGCGAACTGGGTAAGCCAAACGGAACCCTGAATTGTGCCTGTCGGCTCTTTCTTTTATCTAAAAACTAACATTCACTCATTTCTGCCCTTATTACAGTGAAAAGGGGAAATCATGCTGGCTGATAAATCCTGTGTTATCTTCTCAGTGATCTGGTTGTTGAGACCTAGTTACCTTGTTTACTGTGCTCTAGAGAATGTGTAAAGCTACCTCTTGACTGTGGCTTCACCTTAAATAGCTCATAACAACAAACTTGTTATTGTTTTCAGAGAGGAGAGCCAGGGGTGTGTGGACGCTATCGAAGCAGCTCTACAACTCCTTTCTGATCAAGACTTATTTCAATGCCCTCAAGTGCTGGAGGAGTTGCCCAGAATCTAAATGGAAGCTAAGAACCTCCCAGCCACCCCGTGTTTCTGGTCTAGTGCGGGGTCTTGCTTATCTAATAGAAAATATTAACCCTCATAGTTCCCCTGGGCCCAGCCTCCACAAATTCCTGGCTATCCACCATCACCTCCATAAAGAAAGTTCTAAGCAGAAAAGAGGGCATCCTATCCTAATCCACAGAATCCCATAAATGGGGAAGTGCATCTTCTGGCAAAAATAGCAGTGCCCTAGTTCAAATTTTGACCATCTAGCGTCCACACAATTGAAAAACACCACCAAGTTGACCTACATGCATCTAGAAGGTTTTTCAATCCATCCTCTCTAGTTGCCAGGACTGGTAGCCTTCAAATAGTAACATAAATAAAAGCAGACCCACCTCACTACTCACCTATTTAAAAGTACTGAGTGGGCCCATTGACTCCTTATCACATCACACAAAGTAGGCTCACTATCTGGCCCTATCCTTCCAGCCTGACCTCCTCTCATTCCCCACACTTATATTTCAATGGGAGCCATCAGATTCCTTAGCCCAAACTCACCATGCCTTGTCACATCTCTCTCACTTTGCTCAAGCTGTCTCCTCTGCCAGGAAGTCCCATCTGTGCCATTAAAACCAACCCCCTCCCTCCTTGCCCTCTAATGACACCCCCTTCTAGGAAGGATGATCCCTTTATTACTGTACCATCATATTGTTTTATTGTAAACTCTTGCTTCCTTTGGCACCAGCTTTACTAGATGTGCCCCTCATAACATGATAGATATACTCACCCGTCATGCAATCAGTGAATGTTTACTGACCAAATGTTTGTTGAATGAAAAAAAAAAAAAAACTTGCTAAAAGGTTAATCAGGGAGGAACATGAACCAAACAGACATAGAGAAGACTGGTAGGTTATCATCATCACCATCACCATCCAAGCTAGGAAATATCTCAGTAATGTATCAAATAATATAATAAATATTTACAGAATGCCTGACTAGCCTATGTGCTATGTTCTGTATGGATCCAAGATTCTAAAGCATGATCCTTGTCACTGTTACATTTCAGTCATTTAAAAATACATATAGATACATATCTGTATATGTATATATTCCCTACTAGGCCCTATTAATAAAATATAATTTTCTTCTAGGGGAGCTTGGAGTATATTACAATGTACAAATAAATTTGCTCAAATTTCCATCTTTAGTAGAATGGTTAAACTATTCTATGTCCACAATTTGAGTTATGCCACTATACAGTTAAAAGATATAGCTATATGTTCTTTACAGCAGGAAGGCTGTGTACAGTAACTCATAAAGATGCTGAAGGATTGAATTGGTGCAGACCATCAGAACAGGAAGAAAAAGACAGCTGTGAGAGCTTGGGTAATGCATGTTAGTGTAAAGGAGCCAGGCGGGAAAGACTTTGCAGATAGAGAACTATTACACGTTGAATGTGGAAAGCTTTATGTGTCCTTGAGCAGTTTTACAGCCCCTCATAAAGAACTTGTATCCTTTGCAAAGAACACTAAGGAGGGTTCTTTCCTGCTAAAAAGGAAAAACTAGATAGAAAAGATTGATTGTTTTAATACTATGAGACTGTAATAATGAACTCTTTGTTAGTGAGAACTGATAACATCTAAGGAAATAAATTGCATATAGGGCAGGGCATTTTTCAGTTGGTTGCCTGGGAAGTCAATGAAAGTAGTAAACCGTGTTAACTTTACTCATGCTGTTTCTCAGAATCCAGATGTGAAAAAAGTCATCTTAGCCATTGCTCAGCAGAAACAGTCCAGGTGAATGGAAAGAAGGGAAAACATTCATAGGCTAAATGAGAGATTTATGGTAACAGTTGCATCTACTGTATGGGCAAAAGCTGGAAAAACAATCCTCCGAAGTGTGTTTAGAATTAAACAAACAAGCGGACCACCACCACCAACCACCACCTTTGGAACGCCACTCAGTTCCATCAGTCGTTATTCATTCATTTAAGAAATAATGTTAGGCCCTGGCCGGTTTGGTCTAGTGGTTAGAGTGTCGGCCCTCCGACGGGAGTGTCTTGGGTTCAATTCCTGGTCCAGGGCACCTACCTGGGCCTATCCCCGACCCCGTCTGTCGAGGAGGCAACCAATGGATGTGTCACATCGATGTTTCTCTCTCTCTCCCC